GCAGCGACTGTATGAAAGCATTAAGGGTGATGCTGTACAAGTTCGGTAGAAGAAAATCCATTCATCAGGATTCGTGGACTTAATGCGGTCCCAATCGTGAGGTGAAGGGGTGCCTCACCGGGAAAGTGTAAGTGAAGGGCGGAGCAAGCTGCAGGCATCCGGGGCGCCCGGGGTATGGAAAAAGAGATAGAGGGGCTCTGGGCCCAGACAAACACACCTCTTTTACCTGTCTGGCCCGCCCTTGTATCCTATTACCGTACCTCCTCCTCTGCCTCTCAGATCTCGCTCCTGAAGACTGCAGTGAAGCGGTGCAGGTGCGCATGTGCAGATCTGAGAGGCAGAGAAGGAGGTACGGTAATAGGAAAATTACCATATTGAAATCAAATCTGATGCTTTAAAAAAATATTTGGTGTGCATTGGAAGAGGGGTAGTCTTATATGGCAAGTATATCCCAAACTCTATATTTTAACTGGAAAAGTTGGGGGCCATCTTATACGCCCAGTCGTCTTATATGCCAAAATATACGGTATGCACAAAAAGCACATTTTTGCACAGGAAATTACTTCTGTGCTGTCATTTTTTTCTTCCCTGTTGTAGTTTTCACACATTATAAGTTCTAAACAGTGACTTTTCACTTTTCTGGGATTGCCTTCAACAGGTTTTCGCTCAGTTTTTAAAAAATAGTCTTTCCTTCATAATGCAATTACCTAATGTTGTGATATATGTTACAGAGCATACCATTGTATAGACTGTATTATATGCACACCTCTGTATGTTGTTACCTGTCCTGATTTGCCCTTCAAGAACAGCCTTAATACCACGTTGAAAGTAAAAGAAAAATGCTTTACTTCAGCAAACACAAGAGAACGGCAAATACAGTTGAAAAAATGCAAAAGAAAGCAAGGAAGTCTTAATTGCAGACACAAAACTCAAGTCTCTGATAAAGTCCAAAAGAAACAGCAGTCTTACATCAGACAACAGGCAATGATCACTAAATCCTTAGAAGCAGACTCAAAGCAGGTACAATTGGGGTGAAGACATCAGCATCAGAGTTGTTTGTTACCAGCGAAAGCGAACTGCTCCTGCTTCTGATTTATAGCCCTGAATTCCCCATACAGGAGGTGCTAGGGCGGCTCCCAATTACCTCGGTGTTTCTAGCAGCTATTCTAACTGAACAGCGTCTGTGCTGTTTCCTTTCACCTTTCCAGAAATGTGGACACTTGCAAGACCTCACTATCTGATTCCAATTCTCCTTCTGATTCCTGAACACTTCCCTGCTCCCTTTCCTCTTCTGAAGATGAGGAATCCCTAACATTACCATACACCGCTTTGAACTCAGTTTGGCGAGAAAGTAAAGACTTTCTGTATATATTTCAGATTTCAATATTAATGTCAAAAATACGTAGTATGATTTTACATAGGATTTGTGCTACATTAGAACAGTAAAGACAAATATCACTTAAGTAAAATAAACATTAAATATTAAATAACCAGAAAAATAAAATAAGGTGTAAACACTAAACTAATCTGGGAATCTGCTATTGCAACACATCCAGTGAAGTGGTTTAAAACCCGTATAAAATTTAGAGTGGTTCACAGATAGTGAGATCTGGACTGTGGATAGTGAGACATGAGCTGTGGATGTTGAGATCTGGTAAGCAGATAATAATAACTAATTGCGAGCCACCAAGAGTCTGTGCCTGGAAAGATGAAAAGCTAAAACCCAATGTTCCCCAATCAAAGAAGTCTCACCAGTTGAAGAAGAAGCCACCAAGGAGTTTATTTGATCCAGCCAGAAAGGATGACAGCCAGCGGTAAGCCACTGAAAGAAGTTGACATGTTTTGCAAGCATAAAACATTTTTATACAGCACAATATTTTGTTTTTCATGCCCCCGCCCAGGAGGGGCCAGCTTTGCACTGATTTGACATCACAAGCAGCTGGGAGGGTTCCCTCCACGTGAAGGGACGGTGGCTTCGAGCAGCCAATCAGAGAGCGTGTTACACTTCCAATGCAGAATCCTGCTCTCCAATGGCTGACAGGGGGGCAGGTAACCAGTGGAACAAAAGGAGACATAGTTTTATGAATGGATTACCTTGTCTCAACCTCGAGACGAAAAGAGGCCCTCGGGTCCCATGAGTTTTATTGTCTGTATAATGGTCCTGAAAGTCTGCAATGCAACAATAAGAACTGACCACGGAACAACAGACTGGTTCAAGATTGGGAAAGGCGTACGGCAAGGCTGCATACTCTCACCCAACCTTTTTAACTTGTATGCAGAACACATCATGCGATGTGCGGGGCTGGATGAATGCAAAGCTGGGGTGAAAATTGCTGAAGAAACATTAACAACCTCAGATATGCAGATGACACCACTCTGATGGCCGAAAGCGAGGAGGAGCTGAGGAGCCTTCTAATCAAGGTGAAAGAAGAAAGCGCAAAAGCCGGGTTGCAGCTAAAAATCAAAAAAACCAAGATTATGGCAACAAGAATGATTGACAACTGGGAAATAGAGGGAGAAAATGTGGAGGCCGTGACAGACTTTGTATTTCTAGGTGCAAAGATTACTGCAGATGCAGACTGTGGCCAGGAAATCAGAAGACGCTTACTTCTTGGGAGGAGAGCAATGTCCAGTCTCGATAAAATAGTAAAGAGTAGGGACATCACACTGGCAACAAAGATCCGCCTAGTCAAAGCCATGGTATTCCCTGTAGTAACCTACGGATGTGAGAGCTGGACCTTAGGGAAGGCTGAGCGAAGGAAGAAAGATGCTTTTGAGCGGTGGGGGTACCAATCTGAGAGTGCCTTGGACTGCGAGAAGATCCAACCAGTCCATCCTCCAGGAAATAAAGCCCAACTGCTCACTGGAGGGAAGGAGACTAGAGACAAAGTTGAAGTACTTTGGCCACATCATGAGGAGACAGCAGAGCCTAGAGAAGACAATGATGCTGGGGAAAGTGGAAGGCAAAAGGAAGAGGGGCCGACCAAGGGCAAGATGGATGGATGGCATCCTTGAAGTGACTGGACTGACCTTGAGGGAGCTGGGGGTGGTGACGGCCGACAGGGAGCTCTGGCGTGGCTGGTCCATGAGGTCACGAAGAGTCGGAGACGACTGAACAAATGAACAACAACAAAGTCCTCAATGAGTGAGTCTAGTGTCCATAGCGCTAGTGGCCACTGTGTTCCAACTTAGTATATTGTCCAGGATGATGGGATGCTCTAATATTATTGTCTAATGTTTATTGCTATTGTTTTAATGTTTATTGCTTTTTTATGACTTTATTTATTGTTGTATTTGTTATGCTGTTGTTTTATTGATGTGTTGGGCCTCAGCCTCTTGTAAGCCGCACCGAGTCCTTCGGGAGATGTTAGCGGGGTATAAATAAAGGTTTATTATTATTATTATATTATTATTATTATAGGATTAGAGGATCCATCCTTGGAAAAGGGGCATGGCAATCAGGAAGAACAGTAGCAGAGCTTTCCCAAATTCCAGGAAAGATGCCTGGGTGAATGTCCATGTGGCTGGCACAAAAGAAGGTTGGCCCAATTCAGGGTCTGGTAATCGCTTGCCCAGTCAGTTCTATTGATCCTGGAGATGATGGTTCTTTGAGTCCATTGTTGTAGTGATGTCCCAGAGGACACAAGAGGAAATCTGGGTGATGGTGTGACAGAGAAAGGTTACCAAGGATTCTATGATTCATTCTATCTATCTATCTATCTATCTATCTATCTATCTATCTATCTATCTAATGCTCTGTGCATAATGAGTACCTTAAAAACAAAAGAACCAATGAACGAAATCACACCAAATCTGGCAACAAAACATCTCAGTACACAAGGAGTGACCATCACTCAAAAAATTGATTTTGTCATTTTCACTGAACCAAATTTGGCACAAATACCCGATATGCTGAAATTTGAATACTGATGGGGTTGGAGGGGGATGTTGATTTTGTCATTTGGGAGTTGTAGTTGCTGGGATTTATAGTTCACCTACAATCAAAAAACACTCTGAATTCCACCAATGATGGAATTGAACCAAACTTGGCACACAGAACTCCCATGACCAACAGAAAGTATTGGAAGGGTTTGGTGGGCATTGACCTTGAGTTTGGGAGTTGTAGTTCACCTACATCCAGAGAGCACTGTGGACTCAAACAATGATGGATCTGGACCAAACTTGGCACAAGCACTCAATACGCCCAAATATGAACACAGATGGAGTTTGGGGAAAATAGGAAATAGACCTGGCCTTTGAGCGCTCCAGCTGGAGGTCAGCTGTGACCAGCAGTGCTGCAGAATTTGAAGAGGCACGAATGGAGGGTTAAACTGGTGCTATGTGTTTTAAATAATTTATGTATTTTAATTGATGTGATGTGCTGTATTTTAATCTGTTATTCCTCGCCTTGATCCATGGGGAGAAGCTGGAAAGAAACAAATGAATTATTATTATTATTATTATTATTATTATTATTATTATTATTCAACATTCCTTCAATGTTGATTGAGATTATTGTCATGGTTGGTCCTGAAAAGGTCAGTTGGTTGTTTTGCTTGCTTGTTTATATGCTGAAAGTTGCTTCTGGTCGCTTCTGGAGTGAGAGAATCAGCCATCTACGAAGACGTTGCCCAGGGGACGCCCAGATGTCCTGCAATCCTGCGAGGAGGCTGCTACATGCACAATGGAGGACCTTCTCACAGCAACACCAGAGGCACTCCAAGTGGCCAGCTACTGGTCAAAGGACATTTAATCAACTACCAAGCTTGCAAACTTTGTGTTTTGTATGTTTGTTTGTTTGTTTGTTAAAAAATGCAATACAACTGTTTGGTTTGCTTCTGACACAATAAATAAATAAATAAATAAATAAATAAATAATTCAACATACAACATGGAGCAAGGAGAAGAGCAGATCCCGTAAGATAACTCTCCCATCTTGCCATGTCCTTGCCTTATCTCTGTTTACAGCTGGTGGGTGGAGAGGGACAGCTCTAAGTGAGCTGGACAGTAAACTATAGAGCACAGAAGTTGTTCGACTTCAGTGCAAGTCAACAGGTAAGAAGAAAGGTCTAAATTATGGGGATAGATTAATGAAATGTTGGCAGATCTTTAACCTACAGTGAAAACACTGTTGGCTATATGTCTGTAGGCTATCCTTCTACTCATTATTTGGCAAGGAAGGTGTATTTTATATTTCTTGAGCTGCCACTTTTTTAAAAAAAATGACCAGGGTCTCATACCATACATCTTAAAGCTACATGTGATATTCAGAAAGGTAAACTGAGGCAATTTCCCTTGCTGTAATCTGCATGCCAAGAAATGGTAAACTGGTGGCATGCAGAGGAGTTTTTAATTTTTTAAAAAAGTGGCAATCCTAGCCAACAGTGTACAGAGGCAATTGTTCACAGTAGACTTCTCGAGATTGTGAAAACATGTGTTATAAAAGAGGTTTGATATACTTTATTCTTGCCTTTCTATTAACTTACTAGCAGTCCCCTGCCACGCTTTGCTGTGGCCCAGACTGGTGATCTAATGAGAAAGTGTTGGTTTCTAATATATGTAATGACTTTATGCTTGTGGGTAAACAGTATTTCTTGCTCTTTCTTTGTCAGTGTTGATGTGGAGATTGTCTGGTTTGCCTACTCTGGAACATACAACATATTGTCCTTCTTTCGGGGTCCCTTTCAAATCTTTGATACTGCATCTGTCTCATACATATATGTGTGTGTGCGAATGGCTGGATGGCCCTTTGTCAGGAGGGCTTTGATTATGTTTTCTTGCCCTGGTGAAGGGAGTTGGACTGGATGGCCTTAAGGCAGCATTTCTCAGCCGGGGAGGGGGGGGGGGTCATGTGAGAGGGTGTCAGAAGGGTCACCAAAGACCACCAGAAAACACTATTTTCTGTTGGTCATGGAGGTTCTGTGTGGGAATTTTGGCTCAATTCTATTGTTGGTGGCATTCAGAATGCTCTTTGATTGTAGGTGAACTACAAATCCTAGCAACTACAACTCCCAAATGTCAAGGACTATTTTCCCCAAATATGTGTGTTTATATTTGGGCATATTGAGTATTGGTGCCAAGTTTGGTCCAGATACATCATTATTTGAGTCCACAGTGCTCTCTACAACTCCAAAACTCAAGGTCAATGCCCACCAAACCCTTCTAATGTCTTCTGTTGGTCAGGGGAGTCTTGTGTGCCAAGTTTGGTTCAATTCCATCGTTGGTGGAGTTCAGAATGCTCTTTGATTGTAGGTGAACTATAAATCCCAGCAACTACAACTCCCAAATGACAAAATCATAATTTTTTGAGTGATGGTCACTCCTTGTGGTGTGAGACGTTTTGTTGCCAAATTTGGTGTGATTTCGTTCATTGGTTCTTTTGTTTTTAAGGTACTCATTACACACAGAGCATTTATATATATATCTAAGATTACTAGCTGTCCCCTGCCATGCGTTGCTGTGGCCCACATGGGGGTTCTGTGTGGGAAGTTTGGCCCAATTCTATCATTGGTGGGGTTCAGAATGCTCTGTGATTGTAGGTGAACTATAAATCCCAGCAACTACAACTCCCAAATGTCAAGATTCTATTTTCCCCAAACTCCACCAGTGTTCACATTTGGACATATTGGGTATTTTTGTAGAGTTTGGTCCAGATCCATCATTGTTTGAGTCCATAGTACTCTCTGGATGTAGGTGAACTACAACTCCAAAACTCAAGGTCAATGCTCACCAAACCCTTCTAATGTCTTCTGTTGGTCAGGGGAGTCCTGTGTGCCAAGTTTGGTTCAGTTCCACCATTGGTGGAGTTCAGAATGCTCTTTGATTATAGGTGAACTATAAATCCCAGCATCTACAACTCCCAAATGTCAAGATTCTATTTTCCCCAAACTCCTCCAGTGTTCATATTTGGGCATATTGAGTATTCGTATCAAGTTTGATCCAGATCCATCATTGTTTGAGTCCACAGTGCTCTCTAGATGAGGGGGTTTTCAGAGAGGTCGCCAAAGACCATCAGAAAACACATATTTCTGATGGTCTTAGGAACCCCTTTGCCATAGTCATTTGGGTTCACAGTGCTCTCCGGATGTAGGTGAACTACATCTCCCCTAAATCACTGTCAATTTACCCCAAATCCCTCCAGTACTTTCTGTTGATCATAGGGGTTCTATGTGGGAAGTTTGGCCCAATTCTATATGGTGGGGTTCAGAATGCTCTTTGATTGTAGGTGAACTATAAATCCCAGCAACTACAACTCCCAAATGTCAAGGTCGGTTTTCTCCAAACTCCACCAGTGTTCACATTTGGGCATATTGAGTATTCATGCCAAGTTTGGTCTGGATCTATCATTGTTTGAGTCCACAGTGCTCTCTACATGTTGGTGAACTACAACTCCCAAACTCAAGGTCAATGCCCACCAAACACTTCTAATATCTTCTGTTGGTCAGGGGAGTCGTGTATGCCAAGTTTGGTTGAATGCCATTGTTGGTGGAGTTCAGAATGCTCTTTGATTGTAGGTGAACTATAAATCCCAGCAACTACAACTCCCAAATGACAAAATCATAATTTTTTGAGTGATGGTCACTCCTTGTGTTGTGAGACGTTTGTTGCCAAATTTGGTGTGATTTCGTTCATTGGTTCTTTTGTTTTTAAGGTACTCATTACACACAGAGCATTCTTATATATATAGATTATATTATTATTGTTGTTGTTGTTGTTGTTGTTATACACACGGGCCCTTGGAGTTTGATTTGGTATGGTTGGCAAAGCCTCCTCTGCCAATCCACCTGAATAGACTGTTTCAGAGATCTGTTCCATTTTATTAACCCTGCAGTGTTCTCACGAAAATACAATTTGTTGTAGGCACAGAGCTTTTTGAGCCAAGTAATTTAGCCCACATAGAGATTATATAAAACAAGGCAAGCCATTGCTTCACTGATTTGTTTTTAATGAGTTTTAGGAAAAAAAAATATTATTAACTCCTTTAATTTGAAGTGGCACTAGAACTTCATCTTCCCTTCAGGGGTGAAAATGTTCAATCTGGCTCTGCATCAAGGAGCAAAAGAGCTGATGATCGACTGCCATTTTTTACTTTCCAAGAAACCAGGCTAATCTTCCACGCCATGCAGCCCTTTAGGGCCAAGATCCAGCTCTTCCAATGGCACACGTCAGTTTTAATCATCGTTGCTGGGCGAGGGTGTGCCTTCTATACGTCAGATAACTCCTCCTGACTTTATCAGTTTCCAACATATTTGCACACCCCATCCTTTTGCTTTGTGACAGATGGAGCAGTCGCATTTCAATTTGTTGTTCATTGCATGTTGCCTACGGAATTTGTTTTTCATCCCGGATGAATTAATTCAGGGTAAACTGTGAGGAGCCCTGCTGACTTGTTCTCACAGCTGTTTAGCACTTCCAAACTGCTATTTCACACAAGCATGGCCCCTTCCTTTTCATCTGCACAGTAACAACTCTCAGGGGAAGAAGAATCCCAGTGTATATTCCTAGAAAGGCTAGGAAGCAGGGGCGGCTCAACCCATTACGCAAAGTAAGCATTTGCAGTATAGTTGATTTTGCCCAGGGGCGCTCTTGAGGCGCTCTTGGGGAAAATAGACCTTGACATATGCGAGTTGTAGTTACTGGGATGTATAGTTCACCCAGGTGGCTCGTCCATTACGCGAAGTAAGCGGTCGCAGAACAAATTTTTTTTGCCAGGGGCGCAGAGGTGCCTCTGTAAATGCCCCTCGACCGCCACTTGAGGAGCGCCCCCTCAGCTCACAACAGCCCTAGCAGTCCGGGGGGAGCCTCGGCTTTCTTGCCTCGCTGCCGGGCGATCCTCTTCCCAAAGGGGCCGGGCCCTTGAGCCTCGCCTAGCCCCTCTCGTTCCTGCTCCACCCAGCCACCGGGTGCGCGAGCAGAGCCGGCGCTCAATCGTTCTCTGCGTTCGATCCCTTCCCCATGACCGGCTCCCTTTCCCGATCCCCTGGCGCTCCACCTGCTCCCCAATCCGCGGGTGGGCCAAGGGGCGGAGCCGCTGCGCCTGGCCCGCTTCGGGTCCGGAGGCGTGTCTGAAGACCCCAGCGTGCACACCAAAAGTCGCCTCTTCTCCTGACTTTCTCTTCAGCCATTGGGACCAAGAGAGAGAGAGAGAGAGAGTGCCCCTCCGGCTGGAGGTATCTCCCACCTCCGCTCCCTCCTTTGTTTTTGCGCCTACCTTCAGGAAAGGTGGGCATCTCCACCTCTCTCTCTCTCTCTCTCTCTCTCTCTCTCTCTTGGTCCCAATGGCTGAGGAGAAAGTCAGGAGAAGAGGTGACTTTTGGTGCACACGCCGGGGTCTTCAGGCATGCCTCCGGACCCAAAGCGGGCCAGGCAAGGGAGCAAGTGCGGCAAGTGTAGTTACTGGGATGTATAGTTCACCTACAATCAAAGAGCATTCTGAACTCCACCAATGATGGAATTGAACCAAATATGGCACACAGAACTCCCACGACAAACAGAAAATATATATCAGTGATTGGTTGGGGGGGGGGGGGCGCCAAAATACTGTTTGCTTACCGTTGAAAATTACCTAGGGCTGCCTCTGAGTTCACCTACAATCAAAGAGCATTCTGAACTCCACCAATGATGGAATTGAACCAAATATGGCACACAGAACTCCCACAACAAACAGAAAATATATATCAGTGATTGGTTTGGGGGGGGGGGGGCAAAATACTGTTTGCTTACCATTGAAAATTACCTAGGGACGCCTCTGCTAGGAAGATATGGGTATAGAACCACAATCCTATTGTTTCTTGGAAGAGAGACACATGGATAATTTAGAATTATGTGAAAGAATTGTAAGTTTTATGATATGGTGCTTGCCTTGTTCTCCAGTCAGATCTAGATTGTCAATAACTCTTTCTGGGAAAAATAATGAGACTAACAGGAAGCATGCAACAGGTCATGTCATAGAATCATAGAATCCTAGAGTTGGAAGCTTTTGAACAGAGGCTGGGTGGCCATCTGTCAGGGGTGATTTGAATGCAATATTCCTGCTTCTTGGCAGAATGGGGTTG